CCCGCCACCACGGGGACGCCGGGGGGGGAGGAATAAATAAAAATCCAAGGCTGGGCAGAGTGGGAGGGGACCCAGGCACCCGGGCGCATAGAAAGGGGCGGCACCAGAGCGGCGGGGGGGGGGGGGGGCTGTGGCCCAGGGAAGGGCACTGGGCTGAACTGGAGTCACTCCGGATTGACCCGGGAATAGCACCGGGCTGAACTGGCGTCACTCTGGATTGATGTGGGGAATCGCACTGGGCTGAACTGGAGTCACTCCGGATTCACCTGGGGAACAGCACTGGACTAAACTGGAGTCACTCCAGATTGACATGGTTAATAGCACCAGGCTGAACTGGAGTCACTCTGGATTGACCTGGGAAATAACAGTGGGCTGAACTGGAGTCACTCTGGACTGACCCAGGGAACAGCATTGGGCTAAACTGGAGTCACTCCAGATTGACATGGTTAATAGCACCGGGCTGAACTGGAGTCACTCTGGATTGACCTGGGAAATAACAGTGGGCTGAACTGGAGTCACTCTGGACTGACCTGGGGAATAGTAACAGACCGAAATGCAGTCACTCGAGAGTCACCTGGGGAATAGTACTGGGCTGAACTGGAGAAACCCCGGATTGACCCAAGGACTAGCACTGGGCTGAACTGAAGTCACTCTGGATTGACCCAGGGAATAGCTCTGGGCTGAACTGGTGTCACTCTGGCTGGCCCCACGAAACAGCACCGGGCTGTACTGACCCAGGGAATAGCAGTGGGCTGAACTGGAGTGAGTCTGGATTGACCTGAGTAATAGCACCAGGCTGAACTGGAGTCACTCTGGATTGATGCAGGGAATAGCAACGGGCTGAACTGGTGTCACTCCGGATGGCCCCAGGAAACAGCACCAGGCTGAACTGGAGTCACTCCGGACTGGCCCTGGGAACAGAACTGGGCTGAACTGGAATCACTCCGGATTGACGCTGCCACGAGCCAGGGAGGATGAGGGCAGACAGATGCTGATGGCAACTCCTGACCCCAGGGTAGGCAGCGCAAACCTGCCCCCCTCCCCTCCACGGGCCAACCCCGGGGGGTGGGGGGCGGGTTACAAATAAATAAATAAATACATATAAATAAGGAGGCGGGGCTCTTCCCAGGCCCTGCCCACTCCCAGAAGCCTCCCCTGCAGCACCACCTGGCCCCCAGGGTGCCCAGGGGTGTTATTAGTGCCAAGGGGGGTTGGTACCAAGGGGGAGATACAGGAGTCTCTGCCCCCCCCAGCTTCTTCCGGGGGGGGAGGCGGACGTGCGGGGCGTCCTTTTCTCTTGATCCGTATAAAAACGACCCAAAAACGTGGAAATTTCCGAAGGGGGGAAAAAGACCCCAAAATCGCGGGCACTCAGAGCTTGCCCCACAGGGAGGGTGGGCGGCACGCTCAGAGCTGCCTGCCAGCCCCGTGCTCGGCGCTGTCCGACGGCCGGGACCCCCCCTCCCTGCCGG